AAAAAAATAATGAAACAAAAACCCCCACAGCATTCTATTGTTAGACATTTAGGTAGTTTCCGATTTTATGGAAACCTGGACATGAACACTTTTGCAGACAAATCTGTTTCTTTAGATAACTTTCTAAAGGTGAATTTCTGGATCAAATGCATATATTTTCTTTTTTTCAAATACATGTATTTTCAAAGGAAAAAATATCTTAAAATTTAAAAAATAGTCTATTATAAAAATACCACATATTTTATTCAGGCATGAAAAGGAACGGAGTACTGATAGGCTATACCGTAGATGACCCTTGAAAGGATTTGTGCTAAGAAGCCGGACACAAAGGGCCACATATTTTAGAATGCCATTTATTTGAAATGTCCAGAAAAGGAAAATCTGCAGAAACAGAGAGTAGATTAGTGGCAGCCAGGTGCTAGGGGGAGGAAGAAATGGAGAGTGACTGCTAATGGGGGTGGGGTTTCTTTTTCAGTGGTGAAAACGTTCTGGACTTAGATGGTGGTGATGATTGTACTAATCTCTGAATATATTAAAATCCACTGAATCGTATTCTTTAAAATGATAAATTTTATTGTATATGAATTATATCTCAATAATAATGCATATTTAGTGTAAAAAAATACAGTGTAAATTGTTTAAAGTAAGAATAAAAGTCCTGGATCTCCTTCCCGTGGTACTTTCGCTGCTCTATTTCCTGGGCAAAGTGCTGTCATGGGGAATAAAACAGATAAACAGAGGGTCCTTGCCTTGGGAGCACTTTGGTGGGGAGACAAGCACTAATCAAATAATGATACGTACGTAATTAATTATACACTGTGATGAATGTGATGAAGGAAAAGTTTAAGGGAGCTAGGAGAGCAAATAATGGGGTCCTGATTTAGCCTGGGGTTGAAGGACAATAGTCCTAAGATGTGACCCGTAAGTATATACAAGTTTATCAAGGCAGGGAGACTGACAGGGAGAGGGGCCTTTCAGCAGGATCATGGCCTGAGGTCGGAGGACCAGAGAAGGCTGCTTGGAACCTGAGGAGCAGCTGGGAGCCATGCACACTCCCAAGCTGGAGAGTAACGTGGAAACAGCTTTGTGTCTTGAAAAGATTTCTCGGATGCTAGGTGGAGAACTCATTGGAGGACCGACAGCTTTAGCAGCCCAGTCAAGAGATGATGGTGGCTTTGATCAATAGGCTGAGGGTGGAAGGCAGTGGGCAAATCAGAGGGACATTGAGGATGTAAAATAGATAGGCTTTAATATGACAGACTGTGTCATGGGCGACCTCTGGATTTCTATTTGCCCAGGGCTATTTCCAGAGCTGGAAGCACATCAGTGTACCCCTCACACATTTTCTCAGTGTGGGCGTATATGTCTATAGTGGTTGCTTTTTTAATAAGAAGACACAAACAAGACCCACTCTCCATACTTTTCTGGATTTTTCCCCCCTTTGAAGGGATTTCCCCATTGGTGTGCATCTGTCTTCATACTCCATTGCTTGGTTTGCCATCTTTTATTTAGCCAGCCCCCCACACTGGACATTTAGGCTGTGTCCAATGTTTGGCCATTGAACAATGTGTAGTGAATATTTTTGTCTTGAGTGAAGGTTTCTGACAGATTTCTAGAGGTAGAATTTCTGGGTCAAAGGCAATGCACATTTACAGATTTTTTTTTTTAATAATTTTTTATTTTTCAATTACAGTTTACATACTGCTCCACCATCTTGACCGGTAGCCCAACATTTACAGATTTGATAAAGGTTGTCAAACTTCCTCCAGAAAGCTTGCATTAGTTCACATTTTCTCAAGCAGTTTATGTGAGTGCTTATTTCTTAGCCCCTCTCCAACTGTTATTGTCAGTCTTTGATTCTTTGACAGTCTAGGTGAAAAATGACATCTTTTTGGGTTTTTTTCATGCTTTATTATTTTTTTTTCAGATTCAGAGATTACATTGATAGATCTCTGATAACTTAAGAAAACTGTGGTAAAATGTACATAACAAAATTTACCAATTTAACCATTTTTAAGTATATATTTCTCTGGCATTTAGTTCATTCACATTGTTCTATTGGGTTGTTTGAAAAGTAATGACGCATTTTTGCAATGAAAAACAGAAAAAATACGTTATGACTTTTCCTACAACCCAATACAACCATCCCCACTATCCATCTCCAGAACTTTTTTCATCTTCTCAAACTGAAACTCTGTACCTATTTAACACTAACTACCCATTCCCCTCTCCCCAAGCTTCTGGCAACCAGTAATCTATAATATTTTCTGTCTGTGAACTTGCTCTAGGTACCCCCATCAGTGGAATCATACAATATTTGTCCTTTTGTGACTGGTATATATCACCATGTAGCATGATGTCTTTGTGGTCCAGCCATATGGTTGCATATGTCGGAATTTCCTTCTTTTTCAAGGCTGAATACTATTCTGTTGAATGGATAGACCACATTTTTATTTATTTATTTTTTATTTTAAAGATTTTTATTGGGGAATTGGGATGGGAACAGTGCTGGGGAATTGGGGAAGGGGAACAGAAAAGTTGCTGTCCTTTTGTTCTACAGTTTATTTGTGGAGGACATTGCTTCACTGGCCCAAGTTGGCACCATCATTGCGCTCTTCCCAGGCGAGGCAGATCAGTAGCCCATGGCAACCCACTGCAGCAGGGGCTGCAGCCTACGCCGTCGCCAGCGACTCATGGCAGTCCAGCTCCAGGTTGAGCTGTTGTTCAGCATCTTAGCTGTGGAGGGCAGTGTCACTGGCC